TTAAAAAAGAAAAAAGGAAAAAAAAAGGTTTAGAGCAAGCTTTGAAATATCCAGGATGGAGGGTCAAGCAGCTGCCTATCAATGAACAAATAATATCAAATATTTGTTCCCTATAAAGGAGATACTTCCTTTTCCTATCCATTGGATTTAATATTACAAAGATTAAACAATAGACTTATCTGCTGGATAGATGAAGGTTTGAAGTTTCCTAGCAGAAAAAGCTTCCCTTTTGCTTCTGAAAACTGACTAGATAGAAATGAGTATTTTAGTATTATTACCTGATTGGCTGAGACGATCATAGGCCATCATTTCCAATAGACTTTGTCCAGCTTCTCCTTTTATTAGTTTAATCTTTGGTCTTGGAACCTGATAATTTTAGAATAAAAACCTTAATTCAGTAAAACTCATTTTCTAGTAGTAAAATGATCCTTCCTACTATACTCACTTTTTTGAAAATATCAATCAATAGTTAAAATGAGCTGGAAAACAATGCAAAAAAAAAAAACTAGGCGCCAAGGAATTTGCTAAGAAATCTATGAAAGATGCTTAAAGAGAACATTTCTGAGAAACTACTTTCTACTGACATCACATTCGACTTACACTTAGAGAAAGAGAAGTTAAAGAACTTTTCTATCTGTATTAATAGAGCAACGAAAGAGGGTAGTCATACTTTACTGATCAAATCATACTTGAAAATGTCACAAAAAGCACTCCAAACCATTTCCCCTGAAAAACTACTGCAATAGGAAACAAATAGATATGACAGCTGCCATAAGATACTAAGAAAATTTTCTCATATAAAAAGGTTTAAACATTTTTAATAGCACCGAAAGAAAAAGGGAGCTCAATGGTTAGAAAAGTCAAGAAATATTCACACCACATAAGAATCCAATGATCTAAAGATACAAAGGGCTTCACTAAAAACTAGTGACTATCCATCACTGAAAATGTTCAACAGGCAACAATCACTTATTGGAGGTGGTGGACAGAGTATCTAACTCTTAAATTTCTAAATGACTTTCTTAATTGCTGATAGGGATGTTAATTTGGTATAATCTCTATGATTTTAAGAAATTTGGCAATAGTTCTAAAAAATTGTAATGCGTATATGAAAGTTCATCTTGTAATTCTTTCAGGAATTCATTCTACTCATACATTTTCATGTTAAATGACACATATATTTCTGAATTATTGAAAAACTATGATACATCCATACAATGGGATAATATTCAACCATCAAACCAAACTGAAATGGAAATATCTCCAAGATATAGTTCATAAAAATAAAGCAAAGTAAACATAATTTTCAGAATGTTTGCTATCTGAATTTCTTTAAAGGTGGGAGAGCATGTACACATACATATCTTTGTATATTTTGTGGCATATGCACACAACATTTCTTGAAGAACTCATAAGAAACAAATACCAGTTCCTCCAGGAAAGAGGGGTTAACTATGAAACAGAGATAGCAAGGTACTCACAATAAATCCTTTTGTGCCTCTAAAATTTTAAACCTTATGGATAAAATCGCCTTTCCTACAATAGTAACTTTTCAAAATAAGGATCATCTTTACGAACCTAAAAGTTCTGGCTTTGGGATTTTAGAATGTATCCTTTTGACCTGTTTTTTCAGCCATAAGTTTCCTAAACATGCTGTTGAACTCTTTCATAAATAAATGCTGAAGCGCTCACAAAAACGTGGAGTGAAACATAATTCTTTTGACAATTCATTTATTTAATCACTTACAAATTGTTCAGTAGCTGACATCTTGCGGCTAGTTAATTAGTTATGAATCCATTCAATCAAATTATCAAGTCACCATTTCCACGTTAACTCAAAAGTTTCTATCTAGCTAAAAATGCAAGTCCTACTAAGCAGAACTTTGAACAAGAATAGGAAGTTAGCCGGATGACTCTCGATAGACCCTTAATGCAGCTCTCAATCTCATTTTTACACTTGTCATTTTGATAATAAAGCTCTAAAATAAACTATTAGAAAATTCAACTAGGAGGTTCCCACTCTACATCTGGTTCAATGGAAATACCAGGGAATTTCAAAAAATTGGTGGAACCAAAATCCTTATCTTTTTACTTTTTTTATTAAATAAATTTATTCTATTGGGGGCTTTTACATATATTATAACAAACCATATGCCCATTATCTCAAGCAGACATGTACAATTATTGGTATCAATAATTTCTCAACATTATCTTTCTTCTTAAGCCCTTTGATATCAGTTTTTCCCCTTCCTCCCCCACTCTGCCACCCCACGAATCCTTATCATGTAGTTATTATTTATACATGTCTTACACTACCCTGTCCGTCCCTTCACCTACTGTCCTGGCATTCTTCCCGAGGGCTTTACTCTGCTGTCACTGCCATCCATTCCCGTACCCTCCCCTCCGCGCCCTTCTCCTCCTGGAATCGTTGCTGTTGCTGAAAGGGGTCGTCTTTTCTGAATTCCACATATCGAAAGCTCTCGTCTGTGCTATTGTCTGTATACCGGTCTAGTGGGAATTGTGAGACTGGACAATTATCATAATAGTGGGGGGAGGAAGGATTCAAGAACTGGAGGGGTGTTGTGTATTTCATCTGCGCAAAACTGCACCCTGGATACATTTTCTCCTCCGAGCAGCCCTTCTGAGCACGGACATCCAATTGTCCACAGATGGGCTCTGGGTCTCTAGCTTGATCCATTCTCCATCATCTTGATGTGGCTGTTTTATTTTTGGAATTCTGTTGTCTGTTCAAGTTCTTAACTTTAAATTCCATTTTTTTCATGTAATTTTTGAAGCCTCCTTGTATGTGGTAGTTTAAAGACAAAGAGACTGAGAAGATATCTATGTTACAATAAAAACAGTATTCTGCAGGAAGTAAAGTATACTTTATGTGAGATTAAAAAGTGTGTTTTTAATTTAGTAGAGAAAGGATTTAAGGAGACTTCAAAAAAGTTCTTGGAAAGATGGAATTAAAAGATAGTGAATTTTTCCACAAGCTTGTTGAAGGTCCTTAATATACTATGTTATATATTGTGATTATTCCATGCTAAGCTTGTTTTTAAAATACATCTATATAAAACAATTAACCTAATAAAATGTTTGCTAATCACATTCTCCTATCATAGTCTACATAAGCACTCTCCAGATTGTACCTATTAATTATGGTTTTTATCCAAGTTAAGGATATCTTTTAAAATAAAATTTCATGCAATTTTACTTCAATTCATTATTATATTGTCCTAAAATTAGCAACACTAAATAGATGAAAATTCTTGAAATTCTTCTTCAAATAAGCCTACCTACCAACAAAAATGCATCAAAGTACTCAGTTTACCATGCTTATCAGAATTGTATAAATCCTGGTTTGTTTGCTTGTTTTGCCTGTCAAGCTATTTTAACTTTAACTGTCCAAGTTTATGGTCATGTGTGCACTACATTAATAGTGGAAAGCTTCATGTGAAACACAACAAAGTCTCAATAAAATGCCATTCATACAAAAACAACTAGAAAAGGCTTACTTGAAATGCTATGAGATAGCAAAGTGCAGCCAGCTCAGAGAGTGCTCGCCACTGTACATCACTGTGCTGGCCCATCTTCAAAAGCAGAGAACCGGCATGCATGTAGAAGTGTCCTTTCATTTCTAAGAAAGTCGCTGAGAGTTCATCATTTCCACCCACCAAAGATTTCAGAGACTGAAGAGCGCCATCAAAACTGGAATATTAAAATAGTAAACAAGTAGTTCATACCTATACAGCTATAAATAATCAGTTTCATTATTTAACTCAAAATGAAAATAAGGGAGTATTTACTTTTCACTAATGTATTCACACTAATAATCCTTATCCTTGGTTTCTTAAGTCACAAACGATCTAGACAATTAGGAACTAAATATCCCGGGTACTTCCCTATAACCCCTGTGAAGGAAGTCTCACTTCACATGTTATTGGGAGCCCTCCAAGAAACACAAATGAAGGACACAAATCAAAGATTATTGACCACATGTTGTTTCCTATTAAACCAGGATAAAGTTGGGAAACGAAATTATTTCCTAATTCCTTCTTAATTATATGGTTTCATTACTTAATTCACAGTTGGAATTTCTCAAGTTAAGCATGCGAATTTCATATTAAAAGAACAAAACTAATATACCTGAGTTATCAACATTGCAATTGCCAATTATATATATATAACTAGTTAAATAAGTTGTATTTCTCATTACTATGTGTAATTTATATAAGTAATGAGTATTTCTACATACTCATTATTCCTAATGGACTTCACACACTTCAATTATTTAAAACCCAAACAAAACTCTTATTAGAATTGTGCAACATGGTTTTTACAATAAAAAAAACTAAGTGTAATGGTTAAGGTTATATGTCAATTTGTGTAGACCATGATACTAAATAAGTAACTACCCCATTCTGCGAACTGCTGTGAGCAGTCAATCAGTTAAGGTGGTTTTCTTGGGGGCAGGTCTGCAGTCAATGTATGTGGGCAGTCTGGCAAAGCTCACTCTCTCCTGACCCTGCATCCATCGTGTCAACTCCTGACCTCTGTTTCTTAAAATGTGAACCAGCAACCTAATGCATGACCTGTTGATTTGGGTCCATGGGCTCCTATAACCACAAGTCAGGAGGGTCCACAGATTTTGCCAATTTGCAAAACTGCAAAATTTATTTTCTTGAAATAAATCTGTATCTATTCCTGTGTCTTGTATATGTATGGATGTGTCCTGAAGACATCACGCTTGGTAAAGTACAAGAGCAGCAGCAAAAACAAAAAAAAAAGGTGAATCCTTTAACAAGATGTACTGAAAAAGTGGCTGCAACAATGGGCTCTGCGGTAACACTTGTGCGGATGGCACAGGACCAAACTATGCTTCCTTCCGATGTACTTAGCGTCGCTGACTTGCAACCAACTCAACACACCTAACAGCCTATGTTTTTAATATATGAGTGTACTTCACTATTTCTGTTTCTCTAAAGAACCTCACATTACACATTTGGTACCAGAAGTAGTGTGCTGCTCTAAAAACTACAATGGGACGTTTGGGATTAATGAGTAGTTAGAGGCTAGAAAATTTTTAAAGTGCCTAATAGTAAAGCTAAGATTGTCTTGGAGAGACTGCTGGTAGAACTGTCAATGTCAAAGGCAATTCTGGTGAGGGCTCAGAAGGATGTGAGGAGCACTAAGAGAAAGACTCTTATTATCCTAGAGAATATATATGGTACCAGCAACAAAATGTGGATGTAAAATGTGCTTCTGGTGAAGCTGTAAAAGAAAATAATGAATATGACTGGCCACTGGAGTAGGTGATGCTTTTTATGCCAAGACAATTAACTTGTCAGAGGTATGTTCAAATAATTGTTTGATTGAAGGCAGAACTTGCAAGTGAAGACCCTGGAAATCTAGCTGAGACTTCTAAGCAAGATCATAAAGAAGTCAAGTAGTTCCTCCTTGCCCTAGTAAAATGCAAGAGGAAGGAGATGGACTTCTAAATGAACTGTCCAAAAGAAAAACAAAACTTCAAAGAAGGAACAGAACTACTACCTCTTGAAATTCTCCAAGTAGAAAAGAAGCAAAGGAGAATTTGCAGAGAACTCAAGAAGAAAGACACAGAGGGAGGGCTTGCTTTACCTGATTTTTAGCGCATATTATACGGCCACAATGGTCAAAACCGCATGGTAATGGTATGATGACAAGATACTCAGACCAATGGAAAGGAACTGAAACCCCAGAAATAAAATCATCAGCATACAGACAACTGATCTTTGATAAGGTTCCAAAAAATATCCAATGGGAAGCAGATGCCATCTTCAACAAGTGGTACTGGAAAACATGGGTTATCTACCTGCAGAAAAATGAAGCAAGACCCTTATCTCACTCCATGCACAAGAATAAACTCAAGGTGGATCGCAGACCTTGAGGCAAAACCCCAAATTATTAGGGACATCAATGTAGGAATTGGGACAAACCTGAGAACTTTAGCCCAGGGAATACATAGGTTATCAGAAATAGGGGAGGACACAAATACAGAGGAGTCACAAATTGACAAGTGGGATATACTGAAGATAAAACACCTGTGTACATCAAAAGAATTCACCAAGAGAATAATAAGCGAGAGGTCACGGAATGGGAAAACATCTTTAGCAATGATACATCAGACTAAAGGCTTATTACTATAATCTACAGTACTCTGCTAGCTTCCAAAAACGAAAAAAACTAATTGCCCACTAAGGAGGTGGGCAAAGGACCAGAACAAAAGTTTCACATGGGCAGAAGCCTGAATGGCCAATAAACATATGAGAAAATTTCCTGACCATTAGCCATAAGAGAAATGCAAATTAGAACTATGAGATACCACCTAACACCCTCAAAGATAGCTCAATTCAAAAAACCAGAAAATAACATGTGTTGGAGGGGCTGTAGGGAGGTAGGAATTCTCGTCCACTACTGGTGAACCTGTAGGTATGTAGAGCCATTATGGAAATCGATTTGGCAATATCTAAAACAGATGAAAATCGAGCTACCATGTGACCCAGCGATCCCCAGAAACCACGGCCAGACATCTGTGCTCCAATGTTCATCATGGCACAGTTCACAATTGCAAGGAGTTAGAAACAACCCAAATTTCCATCAACGGATGAATGGATTGAAAAACTGTGGTACGGGAGGGAGGGGAAAAAATGAGGAACTGATGCCAGGGGCTTAGATGGAGAGTAAATGTTTTGAGAATGATGGGGGCAATGAATGTACAAATGTGCTTTACACAATTGATATATGTATGGATTGTGGTAAGAGTTGTATGAGCCCCTAATAAAATGATTAAAAATAAAAAATAGGGAAAAAACTGTGGTACATACATACAATGGAGTACATACATCCCTAAAAAGCAATGATGAACACACGAAGCACATCGCCACATGGGAATAACTGGAGGAAATTATGCTAAGCAAAGTAAGCCAAGCACAAAGGACAAGTACAAGAGTCCGCTGAGATAAGCTTAAAAATGCAAAATGGGCATAGGGGGAAAGCTACTATATACATACATTCCTGGGGTAAGGTCTAGGTACTATGGCAGGGGCCAATCCCAATCCAGGGTCACATATGGCAAAGAGGGGAGGGAGGAACATGGGGAGGGGGGAACAGGGCACTAACCCACCCAAGAGAAGGGTGTTGTTTATAGGAGAGGGAGAGAGGGACCAGACTTCTACCCGGTATGTGAATGCAACAATGCAGCACGAAGCAGGGAACCAATGGAGAGGTCTGCAGCGGCCAGCCCCAATCCCAATTACATGGACAACCCCCTTCCCCTGTCAGAAGAATGCACTACAAAGGACAGCACTGAAGCTACAGCTAGGGAGAGGGTGGGTCTGATCAGAGCACACATGAGCAAACAAAGAGGGAAAGAGAGTGGAACACATCCTGGCCCACCAAGCCCACGCCAAGGGCGTGCAAGAAAGCAGCAAGGGGAGCAAAGCAATGAAGTCCCTGGGGAATACCAAAGATAGACTTTGGGACCACGGCATGGCACCCCATCAGGCTGGACTGGAAAACACTCCTAAAGGTCAAAAAGCAGAACTGGAACTATTTACAGGCATTTTTGTTGTTGTTGTTGATTTTTGTTGTTGTTTGGGGTTTTTTGTTTTCTTTTGTTGTTTTGTTTTGCTCTGCCTTGTTTTGTGCTTATTATTGTCTCTGTATGTCTATTTAGATAAGATAGGCAAGATAAACAATTGGAGGAGAAAATGAGGGACCGATGGCTGCAGGTGAGGGGAGGTGGGGGACAACATAGGAGAGGGGAGGCGGGAAAGGAAGTGGGTTTTAACAAACCCAGGGAAAAGAGAACACCAAGTGATCTAAAATCAATGGTGAGGAGAGCATAAGGATGCCTGGTAGGGCTTGATTAAGGGCAACATACCGAGAGGAATTAATGAAACCGGAATGAAGGACAAACAGGATAGTGGGACAAGATGAAAGTAAAAGGAAATAGAGGAAAGAATCAGAGGCAAAGGGCATTTCTAGAGATCTAAATACAGGCATGTACGTATATAAATATATTTATATATGACAGGGAAATAGAACTATGTACATGTTGAGTATCAAGGTAGCAGACGGACGTTGGGCCTCTACTCAAGTATTCCCTCAACGTGAGAACAGTTTGTTCTAATAACCTGGCATTCCATGGTGTTCACCTTTGTGACATGATTGCTAAAGACAAAATGGATGCATAGCAAATATTGTGTAGAAAGTCAATGGTGCCCGGCTATCAAAAGATATAGCATCTGGGGTCTTAAAGGCTTGAAGACAAGCAAGCGGCCACCTAGCTGAGAAGCAACAAAATCCACCTGGAAGAAACACACCAGCCTGTGTAATCATGAGGTGTCAATGAGATTAGGTATCAGGCATCAAAGACCCAGAACAAAAAATCTTAAAAGCCCCATCTGTAGACAACTGGACATCCCCTTATAGAAGGGTCATAAGAAAGAGAGGAACAGCCAGGGTACAATGTAGCAACGATGAAACATACAACTTTCCTCTAGTTCTTTAATGCTTCCTCCCCCCTACTATCCTGATCCCAATTCTAACTTATATATCCAGGTAGACCAGAGCATGTACATGCATACAGTTAAGAGCTGGAAACACAGAGAATCCAGAACAGATAAACCCCTCAGGACCAATAGAGAGTAACAATACCAGGAAGGTAAGGGGAAGGTGGGGGAAAAGAGGAGGAAACGGATCACAATGATCTACATATAACCCCCTCCCGGGGAAATCAACAACAGAAAAGTGGGTGAATGGAGACATCGGTCAGTGTAAGACATGAAAAGAATTAAAATTTATAAATTATCAAGAGGGAGGGAGGGAAGGTGGGAGGAGGGAAAAATGAAGAGCTGCTACCAAGGGCTCACGTAGAAAGAAAATGTTTTGAAAATAATGATAACAAATGTACAAATGTGCTTGACGCAATGGATGGATGGATTTATTGTGATAAGAGCGGTATGAGGCCCAAATAAAATTATTTTTTTAAAAACAGGCAAAGAAGCTACATCTGCTGTGCATCAAGAAAAGGACCACTCCTGAAGCAGCTCACAGATCAGTAAACCTAATAGAGGGAACATGTCTCATTTTCAGAGTGGGGCTATGTACAGTTTCCTGGAGCTCAAAAGGGGAGTACAGTGCCTACATTTCAAAGATCTTTGCCAACAGGGTTCCAGAATGTGGGGCTGCCATTAAAGCATGCCAGGGTAAGGATACCACCCAAAGCTGAAGGGGTGGTAAAAATGGGGCCTGTGGGAATAAGGGAACCACTAAGATGGCTAGAGAAATGGGCCACCTAAAGTTGAAGCAGCAAGTTGTAAAATCACAGAGGGCTTTAAAAAGTAAAGCTGAACCCCAGAAAAAGGAAGCCTGCATTTAAGAATCCAGAGGGTATGGCCAACACACAGAGCCTGGAGGGTGAGGCTACTGCCTAGATGGTCGCAGAAAACAGGGTTATTTTCAAGTCTTGAGAGATAATATAACTGTATTTTGGACTTGCTCATCCCTTTTTTCTTCCAATTTCTCCCACTTGCAATGAAAATATCTACCTTGTGCCCTTCCACCATTGTAGTCTGGAAGCAGGTAACTTGTTTTCCAGATTTCAGAGGTTCAAACATAAATTTACCCCACAGAATGGAATAAGCTAGCTTTATCCACATTTGATTTACATGAATCAAAGATGAGACTTTCTACTACTTACTAAGACTTTGATGTGATGGAGTAAATGTGTTCTCTATGTGGCAAGGATATAAATACTGGGAGGAGGACAAAAGATGAAATGTTATCTGTTGAATTGTATACCCCAAAAGGGTTGGTATGTTAATGAGACATGACCAGAACAGGGTTCCTCTTAAATCTATCTCTTGATATACAAATAAGAGATTTAACAAGCAAGAGGGGCAGAAATGGAGCAAGATGCCAGGCCACATAAGCCATTATCCACATAGAGAAGAAGCCTTCCCCTAGACCCTACATAATAAACTCACACTTCTAGCCTCCTGAACGTTGAAAAAATACGTTTCTATAATGGTAACACTATTTCTTCTATCAGTTACACAGAATTAAGTCTGAGGACTCTAGAGTTCCCAAAGACCCTTTCAATGGTCTGCATAGTAAGACACAGCAGGTATTTGTCACTCTTGTTTTCTGACTTGTATACAGTGTAGCTTTACAGAAGCTCCATGACATGAAAATTCTTTAACAGATTGAAAACAGAATAGATGAGAATCCAGCTGTGTTCTATTAAGCCACACACTAAGGCACTGGCCAAACTACAAAAATAATGCCATTCTTCTCCTTTTTTTGTATTTTACACAAAAAAAAAGCAAATGCTGTTACCATATAAAGGCCATCATATTAAATAAATATGTCAATGTTTTAATTTCTAATATGGTAAATACTGATAGATATAACTCATAAATTATCTTTGGGGTTCCCAAAGGTTATATATAAATGGATCCTATGACCAAAAAACCTGAGTAAGAGTCATACAAAATAAAATACCGTATTTTAAAATAATCTAAAATTTTAAGTTAGCTATAGAATCTCTACTCAAGCTATAGAATTCACTCAACTCCATCACTAGCATGAAAGCTGCCACAGATAATCTGTAAACAAAATGACTAGGCTCCGTTCCAGGGAAAATTTGATGTACATAATCAAGCAGTGGATCATTATTGGCCCACAAGCTCTAGTCAACCTCTGCTCAAATGATCTAACAGAAATCTGATTTTTTTATTCATTCAACTGAATATATTTTAATAAAAGAGTCAGTGGCCCTCAGTGCCAAAGTTTAGGAAAACCACGGATGTGATAGCATCAAAAAGTTACTGAAAAAAAATTTTTAAATGGTACTTTTTTCAAACTTTTTAAAGCTCCCTCATATTATGTATTTGCATTCTCTTGTTTCTCATTTTAAAAAGTGTTTTCTGAAATCCTAGTGATGCTAACTGCTTATACAAGTACAACTGAACCTGTCAATCCATCTGATAACAGATGAATTTTATTGTCATACTACATTAGGGTGTTTTCAACTATTTACTTTTAGAAATTAAACTTAGATTGGCAGTAAGAATATTCATAATACAGATAAATTTTAATCAAGCCTAAATTATGAAGAGTTCTGTGAAAATCAAAGTCATACCAACTAATTTAATCCTATAAAATAAAAAAAGAACAAGATTCCTTCCAAATTGTTTACCATATTAAATATAAACCTCCTAAGAACATTAAAAAAAATGATGGGATATATTTAGACTAATATACTGAATTACTATAAAAATAACCTCTATTGTTTATACAAAAAAATACTCTTTAAGAAAATAAAGCCAACATACTTTTCCAACAGTTCTCTACATTCCTGCACATCCCTAGCGCAAAGTGTAAGAAATGTAAGGTTAGCATAAGCCAGAAGAAAGTCTCTATTGGTTGCTCTCCAGTCATTTTTATCAGTGTCCAAACACTGTAAAGAGTCCAGGTAGTCCTATTTTGTAAAAGAAAAAAAAACATTACATTACAAAACTTTATCAAATTCTTACAAGTGTACTGTCTTCTGTCTATAATTCATTTGTCCATTTCCGTAACATTGACAAGAGCCCTGGTGGCACACTAAGTTACCAGTGGGGCTGCTAATCCTAAGTCAGCAGTTTCACTCCACCAGTGCTCTGTGGAAGAAAAATGAGTTACCTTAAAGCCTTGGAAACCCACGGGAAATTCTACTCTGTCGTACAGGGTCACTGTGAGTCGAAAATGATTCAACAGCTGTTGAGTTTGGGGTGCTACATATACTATAAGTTTTATTAAATCATATTGGTTTTTACACCAGTATCATAAATAAAAATGCCCCCCAAAAGTTTATATTTGTCTTATTTATCGCTATATCCTGCCCATGTAAATTGAAATATTCATAAAAATTCCTCTAATTGCTTTCTATAACTGAAAGAATTTTAAGTCTTAGAGGGAGATGCTTACTTACAAAAAGTTGCATGCATAGTTTATTCAGAATTGTAGATTCAACAGCTTTTACCTACCGTAAGGGTCTGCACGACACATGAATTCCATTCTAAACTTGAACGTAAAGCTATGTTTTTTCCTGCCTCATGGCAATGGGCCACAGCATCCTTCCATCTGTTATTTGACCGATACAGTTCTACTAGCCGAATATTCACATAGACATCATCAGGTCTTGCATAAAGTTCTGACTGAATCAAGTCAAAAAGTTTATTCCATCCATCTTCACCTTTACAATCTAAAAGCTGCTCCTATTATTTAACAAAAAGAAAAAAGCCTTTAGAGCATAGGTTCCCAAATTTTTTGGCCTACTGTTCCCTTTTCAGGGGGGGAAAAATTTACTCAGCCACTCCCCTGGCAATGAAAAACGTTTGCATTATAGCCCATAACCCAGGATAAAGTGTAGGTATTTGCTTTTACAGCTCCCCTGGATCCTTTCAGTAACCCCCTCCTGGGGGTGGGGCGCTATAACCCATTTTGGGAAACACTGATTTAAAGAAACACTTGTGTCATTTTAAACATACAATGATTGTCACTATGTCTAGCCCGAGGATGTTGCCACCACAAGGATCCTACCTATCACAGTAAGCCCCTCGGACATCTGTTTCCAGCTCATGTCTGCCTCAGGATATTACCAGGACTAAAACCATATATAACAGTACACCCATGTCTTCATTAGAAGCCTAGACCACCCCAGTCCACCCTTGTAACACGTCATCATCCTCAAGCTGCTCTGTTATCTCCCTAAACTTGACTCTCCACTTCTCCATCATCCTCTAACCCCCATCTTGGAGTGTCTACTACTCAGGAATAAAAAGAATAAACCAGTGATACATACAATCTCAAGACATGCTGAATTTAAAAAAAAAAATCAAAGCATCTATCTTAAAAGGTCACATACTATATCTTTACAACATGTAACATTCTCAAAATGATCAAAGTATAAATGAAAAAACAAATTAGTGGTTGTCAGGGGCTGGCGAGAGTGGGGAAGAAGAGCTTGAATATGACTTTAAAAGGGGAAGCCTGATGGAGAGCTATCATAATAGAAAACTTCTGCATCATGATCTATGATATAAAATTACACACAATGTACTGCAACTCCTGGTTTTAATATTATACTATAATACTTCAGATATAACCATTGGGGAAGACTGGAAGAATGTTACAAAAAACTTATCTATACCATATTACTTTTGCAACTTCCTGTGAATCTGTAATTATTTCAAAATAAGGTGTTTATAAAACAATTATTTTTCTGTTGTTGAGAAAATACACAGCAAAAGCACACCCCAATGCAAATGTCTCCAAGTATAATTCTCACTGATACCGACTACATTCTTCAAATTGTGCAACCAGTCTCACCCTCTTTTTCTGGATGGTCCTCCCACCATTAACATAAGCCCACTGCTCCCTAATGCTCCTGTCTAGTCCTTTTGAGTTGCCGTTGTTGATGTGATTCCACGTAGATAGATCTTGAAGAAACACATTACTCAAGGCAGACATTCTTTACTAGTTTTCGACTGTTTAGTTTTAAGAAGACTTCAGGGGTTATTTTTGTCTTAGGGGTTCATCTGGCCATTATGGCTCCAGGAAATCTGGATTCCATTTGAATTTGAAATAGTTCTGCATTTCACCATTGTGATCAGGATTCTACTTTAGGATCTTTGATCAAAATATTCAGTAATGGTAGCTGGGTACCACCAATTTTTCCGGTCTCGTGGCAACAGAGCCAGTTGTTGACAGAGGCAATTGGCCACACATTCTCATTCCACATACCCCTACTATTCCTGATTCTTATTCTTTTACTTCAGGAAAACAGTGACCAATTGTGCTTTGGATAGCAGCTTTCAAGCTTTGAAGAATCCAAGCATGATACAATGGAGATACTAAATGCATAACTAGGTCAGTCAATCAACAGGGATGCCCCCAATGAAACCATGACATTAAATCTGCAAACCAAGGACCCAAATCCCATGAGGTTTTGGTTGTACAAAGTAGAAATTTTAATTACCATTTCATTTAGGGTACCATTATAAAACATTAACTGTGGGTAGCAGGTACTATACTCAGAAAGTGGTTAAAAGAAAAAAAATTTTTAATTTAGTACTAATTGGGAGTTAATACATTTATCATTCCATAGTTCAATTTTTTTAATTATTAAAGAAAAATTTAAGGGAACTACAATGGCTTAAAGTTTAAAACTAAAAATTATTGAAACTTTAAATATTAAAAATGTGTGTTGTTTTCACTAACTGCTGTTATAATAGGTATTGTTTTGTTCTGTTTTTACCTTTAGTTTATAAATCGCAGGACTTCCCGGGAAAAGTTTAGCTGCTCTTTCAACCCAATACTTTGTTCTTCCATCAGTAACAGCATTTTTACAAAGCAATTCTGCAATCTTCAGCACAAGATCTTTTTGTGTTGGGTTTAATTCCACTGATCGCTGATATCGGAAAAAATTAAAGAAAAAAATTTTAATCCTAAAGTGTATACACTCAAGAGTTTAAAAAAATCATCACTGCATTATTAGATGATACTATATCAATGGTTCTTAAAATTAAAGCGTCTTGAAATTTTCTAGTGATGAATCAAAAAAAAAAATTTGTTTTTAAGAGGTGAATGCCAAAAAAGCACCACCATACACAGAGACTATAAACATTTCTGACCATACAATATTCAAAATTTATGAAGTGTCAAATTAATCTTATTTAACAAGTGCTAATTTTCCAATAATAAATTATAGTGTAGTGAAGGCAAATAATACATTTATCTACTTAAAGTGTGTCACTAAATAGCCTGTTTTCCTAACATTCAAAAACATAAATACAAAAAATTACTTTGAACATATGTACTTAACTATACGAAGACTTTTTTTTCAGGGGCGAGCGCAAATGCAATCCCCCACTACCACAAATTATGCAGTCGAGTTTCCCACATTTGGGGAAATCGCAGGGGTCAGCACATCCGGAGTGCAATGGATAAGCCTTGCCCTGGGAAAACCACCTTCGTGATCATGGTATCTCCCCTGCCAGGTAAGTATACGAAGATACTATTTTAATCCTACCTTATAACATTCAACAGCTTTGTCAATGTTTTCTTCTACTTCATAAAGAAGACCTAGAAATCTGTGAGCTTTCGGATCCCTCTCTTGCACATTAATATATGTACATATGTATCTGTTTTAAAAAGAACACAAAATAACCTTTAAATTATATTTACGACTACTTAAATGGCAATGGACCAAAGAAACCACTGATTTATATTATTACACTAATTATTAGTTACCCCATTTACACAGACACATGAAGCTAACTCAAAATTATCCATTGAAAAATGAATACTACTTAAAAACACACATGCAGTTCATAACATTCTTCTTTTAACATTAGACATTACATTTATCAAATGGTTCTTCCAATAAGAAATGAACACTTTAGTCACTTTTTCGGTCTGATCAAATTTTGGTAAAGCACTACAGAGGTTTGTGTAAAAATTAGAAAATGATTATAATTAAAAGTTTTAATGTTATAATAACAAAAATACTAAAGAATTAATTTCCTGAATAACAAGATAATTTATGTACTTTTTAAACAATAAAAGAATTCTAATAGTACTATATTCAGCTAAAATTGAACAGGAAAAAAAAGAAGAAAAATCACTGCTAAATGCAGCTACTTTCCCATTTCTCAAAATCACTTGACAAAAATAAGCAAACACCCTCCAGGCTCAGTGACAGCTATCATAGGAAAAATTAGACAAAAGCCCAAGACTGGGGAAAAACCTCACATCATTAGCAGCAAGGAGTTATTAGCAGGCCCAGTGTTGCTAGTTATATAAAGATGTCCCCATTTGCCTTTCCTATCAGTATTTGTTTTCCCAACAGTGATGCACCTCGTCATTTGCCTCCCTCCAAATTCTGTTATCAGTCACCGTTAAGTCAGGAAATCAGACTATATGACATTTCCTAATGATCAAAGCCTGAGAATGGTACCTCCTAAACCCACCAAAGACCTTTTACACAAGCTACCTTTTAGTCCAATAATCACAGTTAACTTTTACATCCACTGCTATTTTCTGGGTGATTGAAAAACCAGATATCTAAGCAGGAAGAAACTAAAACATAAGTACGGTTCTCTTCTTCTAATATAGGGCAATTCTTAAAAAAGCTGTTTTAAGTCAAAACAATTCATTTCCTATACTAGGTGTAATAATCAACAGGCCTGCAAAAAATAATCATTTTGGATTAATTTTTAACATTATGAGAGTCATTAAAAATCCATTTTCTGGAATATACTTAGAAACAACTAATAAAGAATATATTTTTATCTATTTCAAAGAGCACACGGCATTTATTTTAGAAAATAAAACTATATTTACCATTTGGTACTTACTTTTTAGCAAGATCATATTCTTTAGCTTCATAGTACAGCTTCGCAAAGTAGAATCCTTTCATTGACTTCTTAAAAAAAAAACAAACAACTTTTGAAACATTTTGAATCTATTTTCAAAAGGACAAGTGTCCAAGAAAGAATAATGCCAAATAATTTACATTCTATAAATTTCCCAAGATGTATTTTAATTGCCTGTCAAAATATTAAGCATATTATTCTGTTATTTTTTATTCATTTTCTTGTTTTTATTATTGCCATAATTTTTTTTTTCAGAAAACAGAAAGCTATCCGAAGCAATAAGCTTTACAAACCACTTTCATTTGGACCACTATCACTTTATAGATAACAGAAATCAGATTTTCCAAGGGAGAGGTATACCAGAAATGTCTCTGATACCACAAGTAAGCTTTTACAAGACAAATTAAGAAATTCCCTGTTCCAGACAGTGTTCTTTAATTTCATACTCAATAGATTTAACAAAACAGAAATAAAAATTCAATTCTTCACGTACTACACCAAGTGTATGCCCTGGCTCTTCAATTCCAAACTCAAAAAGTCAGAAAACTGTGACACACCACCAGATTATATCCATGTGATAAGATCACACAGCCATCCAAAAAAAAAAAGATCACAAAGCCATCAAAAGATTTTTTTTTAATTATCTTATTTTTAAAGCCTTCACAAAAACACAGGGGGGAGCACTGTTTCAAATTAAACATTTTTTGTGTAGATAAATATAAAAAAATGTAGATTACTTCTGAATTACATCATACTTTACATCCTTTAAAGAGATATTACCCTTCAAATTTTCTATATTAAACTTCGATTACTTCTGTATTAACCATAACAAGATAATAACATGTAATTTCTGCCTAGTGTATTCAATGTTGAAATAAATTCGATGTATGTTAAATTGTAGAATTAACTATGATTCTCTTTAAATAGCAGAGAGTAAAGAACTATTTTACACAAAGTAATTTGGGGTTTGGTTCCAAAGAGACAAACCTTGAGATTTCCTAAATAGTTGAGGCACTGCTAATTCTCTTGAGATTTCCTAAATAGTTGAGGCACTGCTAATTCTCTTAAGAAGGCCTACTGGGCGGGGAGGAGATGAGCCAGTCAGGGTGCGATGTAACAATGATGAGAAATACAACCTTCCTCTAGTTCCTAAAGGTTTCCTCCCCGCTCCCACTACCATGACTCGAATTCTATCTTGCAAGACTGGCTAGACCAGAGGATGTACACTGGTACAGATAGGAACTGAAAATACAGGGAATCCAGGATGGATGAGCCCTATAGGACCAGTGGTGTGAGTGGCAAAACAGGGAGGGTAAAGGGAGAATGGGTAGGAAAGAGGGAACCGATTACATGGAACTGTGTGTGACCTCCTCCCTGGGGGACAGACAACCGAAAAGTGGATGAAGGGAGAAGTCGGACAGGGCAAGATATGACAAAATACCCATTTATAAACTATCAAGGGCTCATGCGGGAGGGGGAAGCAGGGAGGGAGGGGAAAAATGAGGACCTAATGTCGGGGGTTTAAATGGAGAGAAAATGTTTTGAGAAATGATGTACAAATACGCTTTACACAATTGATGTGTGTATGGATTGGGATAACAGTTGTATGAGCCCCTAATAAAATGTTTAAAAAAAAATAAAAATACATTTAGCTATTTGACAAAAAAAAAAAAAAAAGAAGAAGGCCTACTGCCTATGCCCTGAATCCCTAAAAGCAGTTCTAATCCGTCCTACAGTCGTTGAGTTGCTTGGAATCGACCCTAAGGCAGTGGATTTGGTTTGGCTTGACTGATAAAACCAAACGCTTCATCTAACTAGTGACACACATGAAGGTAAGATTATCCTTGTCCTACTCAGACCAGTCAGCGGGATGGCCTTGAGAGAATCCTGAGAAAGACCCTGTGGGGTTGGCTCCCATCCGACACAGTAGAAAGACCAGCACCATCCATGAGCTGGAAGCCCTCTGTGCTACCACTTCCTTCACACTGTGAGCTGGGTCAAAAGCCAGGTAAAAGGCAGGGGGTTAGAGCAGTACACCAAACAAAAAGGTGTATACTGAGATCAGAGAAGACGGAAAACTCCGTGGGGTAAAAGGGAAACTGTTCCTTTATCTCCATTTTAAAATACCTAGTTTTATTCAACTATAATTAACATAGCATGCAAATCAATAGTTCACTTATAGCAAGAACGGTGCGCCATCACTACCACGATCAACTGAGGAACGTTTTCTTCCTTCTTGTACCCACTGGTCTAGTTATCTCAATGTTCAGTGCAAACACAGGCTCTGAAAGCGAGGTCTCTCTATCCTGCTGACCTTTTGGGTTTTACAGAAGAGGTCAGAACCGCTGCCATCTGATCATTGACTTTTGGTATCCAACTATGCCAAGACTTTGCTTTTTTTATGTCAGCTCTTCGAATGCTTAAAAAACAAAGCCAATGTTATAGTCCAGGGGTCCTCAAACTTTTTAAACGGGGCCAGTTCACTGTCCCTCAGACCCATTGGAGGGCTGGACTATAGTTTTAAAAAGAACTGTGAAAAAAAAAAGAACTATGAACAAATTCCTATGCACAGTGCACACATCTTATTTTGAAGTAAAAAAACAAACGGGGCAAAAATACCCGGCCGGCCAGATAAATGTCCTCAGCGAGCCGCTTGTGGCCCCCGGGCTGTAGTTTGAGGATGCCTGCTCTAGCCAATCACAACCCAGTGACCCTTGAGTTTGCTTCTGACACAAAATCTTTATAGGATCAGAGTCTCATCTTTCTCATATAGGGTTGTTGGTACCGTATGCTTGAACTGACAGCCTTGCAGTTCAGTTAGCAGCCTACTGCTTATTCCACAGGTCCTCCCACTTATCCTTATGAAGTAGAATTCATTAATCATCATTTTGTCACAAATAAAAAACATGAGGTGGTTTTAAACCTTCAGGAGACAGGTGAATTTTACTCTGATGATGAGGGGTTGGTCCCATGGTATTTCTACTTAGTAAAAGAGCCCCAATGGCCTGGTGGTTACACCCTAAGCTGCAAAGTGCCAGGCTCCACAGTTCAAAACCACCACTGGAGAAAGAAGAGGCTTTCTACTCCTGTAAAGAGTTACAGTCTTGGAAACCCAGTGGAGCAGTTCTACTCTGTGCTATCGGGTCACTATGTGTCAGAAATCAACTGAGGGTTTTTTGAGTGAGTCATGTTTTAGTTTAGCCTGTAGTTCTTAAACAAGACCCCTAGTGGCACAGTGGGTAACAAGTTGGGCTGCTAACCATAAGATCAGTAGTTTGCAACCACCAACTGTCCACAGGAGGAAAATGAGGCATTCTACTTTGGTAAAGAGTTACAATCTAGGAAACCCACAGGGGCAGTTCTACCCTGTCCTGTTCTGACTATGAGTTAGAATTGATTCAATGACAGGGAGTCTGATTTTGAGAGAGAAACCACAAGTTCAGACATTTGGTGTGTGCACGTAGCTGAGGAAATAATGAATCAAAGCTTCAGCAGGACTCTGATTGAACACTTTTATGAATTCCCCCCTAGACAGCAGCATGGTAGCAATTTTAAGGTGGTTGAAGATTATCTGCTCCTATGGCCTTCAGTAACTGAACTATCTAAGTAGGCCTCCTCTTCATTATTTTATCACCAAATCCTATTTCCTTCATTGTATTTGAGTTGCAAGTATGTACATTATTTTTAATTTGTCTATTCCTTACAAGAATATGTAAAAACTCATGTAGCTTTAATTATTTCTTTATAAATTTCAAAAATTCTCTAAAAATCTGCCATATGGAAATTAGTTCAAAGAACATAAAGATCACCTTTTTATGACCAAATTCTCCTCCACAGTAATCTCTCTCCTTCTCTACTTCTGAAAGTCTATCAATTTACTAATAAGTGTATGTGTCTAAATCAGAGTATATATGCATCAGACTAATCTTTTCATTTTTTTGATCTTTGCTAATTCAGTAGGGTAGATAAATCTGACATTTCTCAAACTACTAAAACGATTCTTAAATTTACACATGAAAAACACGTGTAGTATAGCTTCTCCTGCTGATATATTTCAGTCATTCCCAACTTTAATTTGAGATGGAGAATAGAATGTCAGATAGGAGTTTGGGAGTTTTCTGAAAACAGTCTGCCTAGGTTGTCATTTGTCTATGAATAACGTGTGAAACAAGATTTGGAGTTCTGTGCAGCAAAAAATAATTTTTTCTTTTTTACTTTTAAATTTAAATTTACTTTGGTAACCACTGTGGACTAAACCCCAAATTTTAATTTTTACAACCATTAATTGCTCAGGTGACATCTATCCAATAATCCATTTTTCTCCTATACCACATAAGAATTTCACTTACAATATTTTAATAAACCCTTTTCTACTACACAAAGAAATTGTCTAGTGCTTGTCACAGCAAATAAAAGTTTATTCTTTTTAATGACAAAATACATGGTCATGGCTAACCAACGTTTTCTTTTAAATGACGCAAATGTATGAAGTAGACTATAGTTTTTAATACAGTGATACCTGAGTTCGTTCCAGTCGTGTTTGAACAGCGAAAAATTCAAGAACGGAACATATTTTTCACATAAGAAATAATGGAAAACCAAATTATTGTTTCAGAAGCCCAAAAATTACACCTATAAACTCATTTCCCAGGACCTTAACACCAAGTTAACAGCCCTTGGTTGAAGAAATACCCCAAAATATCTAGACAGAATACAGTACATTAAAAATCAAAACACAATACAGTTTAAAAATGTTACAATATTTTACACAAAGTGCAAGGGAAAAGCACAATGACAAATATTTTACCGCACTAACACAAGCACTATCTATGTTGTCAAGTCAGATTTTTGGTTGACTACCGAGTAGTTACAAACACAGAGATTTTTTTCAAATTGTACTGTTCAAGTAGTGGAAAGTTTGAATCTGGAGCAATGTGAGATATCACCTGTATATATTTTCTGCTCTTACAATGCACTACTACTATTAGGCAGCGAGTGTTGCTGAACAACTTTTAAAGAGCTTGACAAAGGGATGAAGGAACCCCCCGGTCAGAAAGGTCTGGTTCCTGTGCCCTTGCCTGGCCTTTCTTCCAAGCTTGCCTGAGCTCAGTCCTGGCAGAGGCTACAGCACTTTACAAGCCTTCCTTCTTCTAGCGCATGGACTGTGCAGGGGCTGTACTTAGTGGGACCTTCCCTTCCTTCACTTGTCATATCCCCTATTGGAGCATTTCAGCCATTTGCTACCTCAATTCTTCCTGTTAGAGAGAGGCTTGGGCAACCAGCCAGGTCCAGGAAGGGGCATGGGTACCTGTGCCTTCAGAGATTTGTCCAAAACCACCTACGTTGTCTAGTCCCCCCTGCGTTTCCATGCCCCCACACCCTTGGCCATTCCACCAACCTGGAATAGGGGACAGCACCCCAGGGCTGGTGCCAATAGAATAAGAAGCCCACCAACACTTCCCCCCCAAGAGCCCCTTTAGGATCAGTAATGGAAAGTGCTGGAGCCCCTGCTTTCTGTGCCCTAAGTAGGGATTGAAAGGAGGGAATGACAATATAAAAGTGACTTAGAATGTAGACGTTTGTAAATAGTGTAATCCATAATTTTGAAACCGAATCTGATCTCTACAGAGATGGCTTTTTAAAAATTCCTTATTGTGTAAGCTGTGTGCTTCCAGAGCAACAGTTCTCAACCTGTGGGTCTCAACCCTGACTCCCAACAGTAGCCAATTTTCAGTCGTGAAGTAGCAATGAAAATAATTTTATAGTTGGGGGGATCAGCACAACATGAGAAACTATATTAAAGGGTCACGGCATTAGGAAGGTTCAGAACTTCTGCTCTAGATCATAGGTTCCCAAACTTACTTGGCCTACCACCCCCTTTTCAGGAAAAAGAAAAGAAAGTGCCCCTCTGGCACTTTGGCAACAAAGGCCCCTCTGGCAACAAAAGGCTCTTGTAGTACAGCTCTAAGCCAGGATGCAGTGTACACATGCTTCTCAGGCCTTCCTGGGTCACCCCAGTGCTCTCCATGGGGGCGGGGAAGGGCACTAACACCCACTTTGGTAAACACTGGTTTATACACTTCTAAAGGCAACATTTCCCTCTCTCTAATCCTTCCCCAAAACAATTCTGTACTTTCTTTATTTACATAACATCAAAACAGTAGTTTGATATCCCGGAGAGAATCAATCATGTTCCCTTCCTTGTTGAGTTTTGGAAGCAAAAGGATATCTGAACAGTGCACTATCAGGTCTACTAGATGAATGGGGTAAGGATTCCCAACAGTCCTTGCCATTCTTGAATAACAAGACAATGTCAGAATGGAAAAAACTTGTCAGTACTGCACCTCTCCTGGCCTTTTTCTCACCAATGCTGATTTCCATTTTCACAAAACTTCTACATAATGATCCCCTGTATCCCAATGTCCTTCAAGAAAATCTGTCAAGACTTACCCCATGGAAATCTCAAAACTAGTGTCAGCATAACGCTCAGAGCTGATGTTTTTGGCATGAATTTAACTCTCCCAGGAGCTCTTTGGAAGGTGCTATCTTGACTGAGCCTTTTTGGGGGGCGAAGGAGGGGTGCAGTTTGGCTTTATTTGTCTTTGAAGTCCTAAATCAACATTCCCTCTAATAATTACACACTTCTGACAAGTTTAGGCTATACAACTAAGCTCTACGAATCATCTGTGTCATCTTTTTCTTATCAAGGGTTTTTAAGTGAAGAGTTTTAGGTTCTACTTTTTATTTTGGGGGGAGCTTTTTTTTTTTAACAGCAGCCTAAGAGACTAAGAGGAGCCCTGGTGGCCTAGTGGGTTACACATTGTGCTTCTAACCACAAGGTCAGCAGCTAGAAACTAAAGGCCTCTCACCAGAGAAAGATGAGGCTTTCTACGTCCATAAAGAACTACAGCCTCTGAAATGTACAGGGGCAATTCTACCCTGTCCCACATGCGTCTACATCAAAGAGAACTTGTCTGCAACCATCTCCTATTTACAGAGATATTTTTAAACACATTTTGTTTAGAATGAACCTGTGCATGTATATGAGCTGTAACCCTAGTAACAATACATTTTTACTTAACCTAGTATATTTTCATTGCTGTTGCTGCATGCCATTGAATCAATTTTTGATTCATAGCAACCCATGTGATATAATACAACTGTCCTATTAGGTTTCCTAAGCTACAATTTTTCAAGACTCTTCCAAGTGACAGTATTTTTGTCTATAAATCTTAACAAGATAGATGCTAAAACTCTAAAGACCTACAAGCATCTTAAACTTCATTCAGTACTCTTGACAACCAAAGCCCATTGCCTTCGAGTTGGTTTGGATTCATGCAACACTACAAGACAGAGTAACATTAATCCTAAGGCAGTGGTTCTCAACCTGTGGGTCGCGACCCCTTTGAGGGGGTCCAATAGTTCTTAATCTTCAGGGAGTCAATGTTCTCTCCCTAAGAACAACAACAAAGAGTTTTATTAACCAACGGGATATAGAAAACCTTAAAATGTTACTGCTCCAGACTCTGACACCAGTCTATTTTTTTTATTATGTCAACAGTTCAAAACTATAACCAGATGTAGATGCCTACTCCTGAGAAATAATAAAGTTATAGAACTCTGCTGCTCTTAAAAAAACTAACCTGTATCTCTAATTTCTCCATGTCTCGGTATAAGCCTGGAATATGGGGGGAAAGAAGGCTGGGAAAGATACAACTATGTGGCTATTACTTACTATCATGATAGCCCTAGAATTTTCCTTTTTTTAAAAAAAATTCCTTCTATTTCTTTAAATAGATCCTCTTTGTTCTCATAGGCTCTTGTCCCCCCCCCATCTTGAATAATTGTTCTTTTCATATCAACAAAAATTGCAACTAACATTTATTTAGGGTTTATTATGCTATCAGGAAGGAGTCCAAGTAGGACTGTAGGATAAACAGTGAGCTGTGAGGTCAATGGTTCAAATCCACCACTATGTGAAAAAGACTGTGCTTCAAGGAAGATCTGCAGTCTAGGAAATATATAGCTATATATATCTAGTTGAATTGGAATCAATGTCATAGCAGTGGGTTTGGTTTTGTTATTGGGAGGAACTAGAGAAGACTATGGAACTTGGTCGAGGATCAGTGATAAATGAGGAAGAAACTCAACAAGACCAACTCACACAATAGCAAAACACTCAATGAAGGGACTGACACAGTGGCTACAACTAAAGACTCCAACATAGGAAGGATGATGAGGATGATGCAGGACCAGCCAGTGTTTCATTCTGCTGTGTACAGAGCCGCTATGAGTAGAAACCGAAAGGATGACAACATACACCAGAGGAAGAAGTCCTGGTAGCACCATGGTTGAAGCGCTCAGCTGCTAAACAAAAAGCGAGCTGTTACAATCAAATGCTCCTTTGGAGAAAGATGTGGCAGTCTGCTCCCTTAAAAACTATAGTCTTGGAAATCCTGAGGTAGCTCTACTCCGTCCTTTGGGGAGCTGTAAGTCTCAAACAACCCCATGGCACGTAACAGGTGCCAAGCATTGTCTTAAACGTTTAACAAAATCATCCCATCTAATCCTATCAAGGTTACAAGCCTATCTGACTAGTGAGAAGAGTTTAACTTGCCCAATTCCAAAACTTGAAAGAGCAGTGATTCCACCTCTGGCAAACCAACTTCAGATACTGTGCAGACCCAAACTTAATAGCTTTTTCCTAACCTTCCACATTCAAAGTTCTGTTGAACTTAAAAGATACGGTTTATCTCAAAAGAGGGAAAATATCTTAACTTCTAAACCATGGTAATAATCGGTAAAGAAACCTGGAGTCCTTTTTTTTTTTAAAGCAAATTAAAGTCGCTTTCAAAGAGTGAATATAAAGGGGCAGAAACTTTACTAGCACGTTGTCAACTACACCTCAAGACGGGGAATACCCCTTGTCATTTGGGCTATGTGTTAAAGCAGATGGAACTGTAGAAGCCACTGCTGCGGTCAGTTGAATGCCTGTTGGAAAGGCCCCATAGAATCAATTCCAACTCACAGGGCGGGACCCTATGTACGACAGAGCGAAACAATGATCCCTCCGGCACCATCCTCAAAGCCGTTCCTGTATTTGAACCCACTGTTAATCCATTTTGTTGAAGGACTTTCTCCTTTTCGCTGGCCCTCTACTTTCCCAAGAAGGATGTCCCCTCCAGGGACTGCCAGGGTAAAAGCCCTTCTCTGGCTGTCTGTTATGGCTAGGTTCCACCAACTTCCACGACTGAGAGGTGCCCCCTCGGCCGCAGTAAGGAAACTGTCCTGGAGACTCAGCAAAGAATCCCGCCGGTGGCACCGGGAAGGCAATGGAAGGCGAAGACAGGCGCCAAAACCCGGGGACAGCAGCTGACGCTAAAGGCGCGGCGCTTAGCGGCCAAGGAAATTCAGACCAGGGTGGGCCCTCCGGTGAGAAAGAGGAAGCGCTGGCGCCAACGGCTGGCGGCCGAGGCCCCACGCCGTCCCGGGTCCTCCGCCCCTCCGGGACGCGCGCCCCCCTGTCCCCCGGCCGCACAGCAGGCTCGCGAGCGCCACGCAGCCCACGGGACCGCGCGATCGGACCGGCGACCAACGGAACGCACTACCGAGTGCAGGCAGGCCTGAAGCCGCTAGGCCGGCGCCAGGACCCGGCCGCGGACCCGAGCAGGGCCAGAAGCCAACCGCTCCTCCCAGGCCTACTAACCTCTCGGGGCGACGGGGCGGACCCCTGCACCGAGGCGATGTACCGCTCCACGTCAGCCTTGCTGCGCCTCATTGCGCCTCGCCTTGGCTCCCGCTACGGTGGGGGCCGCAGCGACCGGCTATCTCCGGGAACGAAGCGCCCAAAAGCCCGTGACGCAGCGTCGTCGCCGGCTCAAGAGCGACTGAACGTACGTGCGTGCGTATTGCGTCGGCACTGTGCGCCACTCGGGCCCCCTCTGCTCGTCTGACCCGGCGGACTTCCGGTCTCGCTCCAAGTCCATCCGCCCACCGTGCTGGACGGAGTCCCAGCGGTTACAGCTGTTAGCAGTTTGCTGCGCTCCTTCCGGTGCTAATTTAGGCTTTCGGCGCGGTGCGTCAGCGCTCCCGCAAGATGAGACGGGGGGGAAAACGATTCCATACCACGAGTGAGCAAGACATTGGGTTCTTAAAACTTGTGGTCGTAGGTTCTTAATTATTACTACACAATGTGTGTCGCGATGGACTCGATTGTCGTGGGTTTCGTTTGATGGAGAGAAGAAGCAATCTTAGGCCATTTTTGATCATTTGGGACAACCGTTGTGGAGGCAAGTTGTTACATATATATGATGCATATGCATGCACAACAAATCGTATTATATAAAAGGATATATCGTTAGATATTTTAATGCATAATTAAAATATAGGTCACATACTATTTTGGATGATCACAGTCTGAATACAGATGGATTTGGAGATTATATATGAGAGGGTTTCAAAAAATTCTATTTAAAATCCTTTACCCTCAAATTTTTTAAGCCCTCCCTTGGAGATTGAATTTTAAAATCTTCCTTTAAAACAGTACTTAGAAAACGTTTTCTTTTTTTTTTTTTTTTTTTTTGAGTTGCAGGTGTGTTTACTGCTCTAGCATCCCCATCCAGTCTGCGGGTCCCCCAAGCAGCTGGAAGAAGGGTGGGAGCGGTGGGGATGTGGGGTCGATACTGCGAGCTCTAACTGGTGCCCCATTTGGGCTGAATGGCAACTCGGGACCTGAGACAGCGATAGAAATGGGTCCGAGGTCAAGGTGAGGCAGCCCTTAAGGGTGGGCCCGTCCGTGCGTCCAAGGGCAACGCAGTCGTCTCAGGAGCTATGTGGCTTCTTGGTGTCCAAGTCCTTCTTAATGTCTTCAAGTTTCTTGGATAGGTTTGGTATGTCATAGTTCTGAGCCAGATACATCCCAACGATGTTGCCAAACGTAAATCCAAGCAGGAACTGGAGCATGATGTCAGCGGAGGCGGCGAGCAGGCAACGCGGGGGACTAGAAAACGTTTTCAATGGTAAAGATGTTCTCAGGTTTAAAATGACTTTTTTGTTTAGGGTTGGGTCTTAAGTGGGAAAATATTAAATAGAATCGGTAAAAATTTTAAACGGGAATTCTAGCAAACATTTCGAGAAGAAAAATACCAATCTTATATAAACTATTATACAGTATACAAATGGACAGTATACTACCAAATTCATTTCATGAAGCAACTATAACTCTGATACCTAACCCAGGCAAACACATCACCAAAATTGAAAATTGCAAATCAATATCTCTGATGAATATAGATGTCAAGATTTTCAATAAAATACTAGCTATTATAATTCAACTGAATATCAAAAATGTAATTAAAATCAAGTGGAATTCATACCAATATGCAAGGATGGTTTAATATTAGAAAAATATTGTAATCCTCTCATAACAAAGAGCCATATGATAATATCAGTTGATGGAGAAAAGGCATTTGGTGAAATTCAACATCCTCTCCTGATAAAACACTCAACGTAATAAAAGCCATATATGTGAAACCAATAGCCTGCATCTCACTGATGATGCTGATGTTTTCATATATGTATTTGCCATCTATATACTTTGAACTGATTAACTTTATTTTTAAATCTCTTCTTTGTTTTCTGCTAAGTTTTGAGAATACTTTTTATATTCTTATTAGATGTGCTTAATCAGATTTATAATCTGAAAATATTTTCTATCATTCTATAGTTTGTTTTTCATTCCCTAAAAATTGCACAGAGCAAGCACGTTGAAGTTTTACAAAGTAAAATTTTAACACCAAGACATGAATGCAACCTACTGGCATGAAGCAGGGAACCAATCCCAACTACGTGGACACCCCTACCCCCACCCCGAAGAATTCATTTCAGAGGATAGCACTGAAGCTACAGCTCAGGGAGAGGAACATGTCTATCAGAGCACACAGGAGCAAACGAAGAGGGAAGGAGAGAGTGTGGAACACATCCTGGCCCACGAAGCCCCGAGGATAAGCCCCGAGGACGATATTCCCACTCAGATCATAGGACCGGCCCCACCATGAGACACAACTTCCCTCACTGACTCATAGTGCTTTGAGGGACAACACTGGAGGCACATTGCATGAAGTGTGCCCAACCTGACCCTACCACACTGGGGCAAAATGCTAAGGAAGGGCAGCAAGGGGAGCAAAGCAATGAAGTCCCCAGGGAATACCAAAGGTAGACTTGGGGGCCAGGGTGTGGCACCCCATCAGACTTGACCAGAAAACACTCCTAAAGGTCAACAAACAGACCTTGAACTATTTATAGGCTTTTCTTTTTTTCAGTGTTTTTTTGTTGTTGTTTTGTTGCTTTGTTTTGCTCAGTTTTGTTTTTGTGCTTATTATTGTCTCTGCATGCCTATCTAGACAAGATTGGTAGGATAAACAATCCAGGGGAGAAAACAATGAGACCAAAGGTTGGCTGGGGGGTGGGGTGGGGGCACATTGGAGAGGGGAGGGGGAGAAATGAGCAGATATCAAGGACTCAAATAGGAAATGTTAAAAAAAATAATATGTTTTGAAAATGATGTTGGCAACATATGTTCAAATGTGCTTGACATGATAGATGTATGGATTGTGATACGAGCTGTACAAGCCCCGAATAAAATGATTAAAAAATAAATAAAAATGAAAAATGTAAATTCTTATAAAGCTTATAAACTTTTTAAAAATGAATTATGCTTTTGGTATAATGTCTAAGAGCTCTTTACCTATAGTAAGACAATTTTTTCCTAAAAGTTTTACAGTCCAACAGTTTACATTTACATCTGGGGTTCTTTAATTTTTTATTAAGTGAAAAGTGTAGCCAAGACTCTTTTTTGTTTCTGCATGTCCAGTTGTTCCATCATTACTTGTTCAAAAGAATTATCTTTACTCCATTAAACTTCTTCTGTGACAAACAGAACCAGGAAGAGAGCGTATGCGGACAAATTCTCTAAGTTCACACTGAAGGGATCTGAGAGGCCGGTAGAGGGAGACCTTCACTTTTGTAGGTTAGGGATGTGTTCCAGCCACATTCTCCTAAGTAAAAGTTATTCCCCATGATGATTTCCTCCCCACCCACCTCCCATCCCCGTAATAATCTTAATGTGCTTACAAGTACGTGGTTGGTATCACATAAACTTGAAGGTTAACTGCTTGAAGGCTACATGCTGCAAGGTTGTCTGCCATTGACAGCAATTAGACTTTATTGTCTGTCCATAGATTATTTCCCTGCAGAAGACCTCAGAGACGCCCAAGGTCAAGCTAGCTAAGGGATGACCAAGGTCAGGCTGCCATCTTGATTCTAGGATCCTCCCATCTTGTTACCTATGTACCTTCCTGTCACATGTATGCCTCTAGTACCTCCCCTTCCTATTGCGTGTATACCCCTAGTTTCATCCCTCTCATGTTACGTGCATGCCTCTAAACAACCCATTCCTGTTATGTATATGCTTACTGTGGCTTGCATTGCTTTATCTCATGACTCTTTACCCCTCAATTACACAACTGCTCCTTAACACCAATCCAGATGTGGGGCTAGACCTCACATTTTTCACGTAATTTTATTTGTAAAGTTTGGGCCATTACTCTATTTTTCCCTAACACACACACACAACAGCATTACAAAAAAGCTTGAAGTAGCGTATGAGACATAGACAGGAAGTGAGCATAAGCAGTAAGGAAAATGGTGCTAATAGACTTGCTCAGTAAAGGACTGGCACCACCAACCTTCAATTTGTGAAAGCCACAATATCTGTGAAGCAAAAGACAATCAAACAAGGTATGGCTATTTTTGCTTTCACAGACAGTCTACCTGACTAGGTCAGCCTAAATGTTCCAACTCACCTGTGCTCTTGTGGTGCCAAGGTCAGCTCAGGTTCCAACGCCTTCACAGTTCTGTCCCAGCTGCTCGCCCCGGGGAGTGGCCAGTCTGACACTTGGGTAGTGACTTGGCCGTTCACTTCCTAGAGTCCCTGGTCTCAGTAGAATGGAGCCCATGCCTATGCACCCCGGGGTGAAACATGGGGTTGCTTTCTTAGCTCTTCTTTCAGGATTTTCCAGGCTACCTTCTTGTCCTGGATTATTTTTTAAAAACGTCCAATCAGAAGATTGGGGTTTTATTTTACCTATGCTGCCATGCACATCCATAATTATAATCCACTGTCACACTAAACAGCTGGAGGGCAGTATTGCAGCAAATGGCAACAGGCAAATGGCAAAACACTGTTTTGGCTCGCAAATGAAGAGAAATGTCTGAACTACTGATCTTGGGGCTAGCAGCTCAACATATAACCCACTACACTGAGCTGGTTAGAATAATGAAGCAGAGTTTAACTAATATAATTCCCTTGACATTTTTGAATTGAAAATATTTCAAAGATATTAAAATATAAAATATTTAACAAAAAATAGTAAAACAAAATCACAAATGATGAAAGAAAGGAAACCATGAAGAGGAAATTTCTCCTATGACTTCCACCAAAAAAAAAAAGGAAGAAAATTTGCAGAAAATGGTGTGATATAAATGTAAAGAAAATGAAAACACATACAGATGATCAACTAACAGGAATCAGGACACAACCTGAAAAGCAATGGGAAAATCAATATGGAATCTTAAGTTATTTAAAAAGCAAAAAAAATTACTGGAACTGAAAAATAAAGCAACTGAATTACAAAATCAGGGTGGATTTCTCTCAGAAATTTTAGAGGCTAGAAAACAATTGAGCAACATATATTGAAATACTGAACAAATCAACTTCCAACTAATAATATTTGCCCAATAAAGTTGTCATTCACATATTAGGGAGAAATCAAGGCATCCCCAAATCAACAGAATCTCTGGGAAGTTTACATTATCTGACCAGCCCTGCAAGTATTAACTCAAGAGAGTTCTCTAAGTGGAAAAGCAAAATCATTATACAATACAAGGATCCCAAACTCACTGATATCAAGTTGATGCCAACTTTTAGTGACCCTCTAGATTACTAGTGCCCCTGTTAAGTGTCGAAGAATGTAACAGTTCACAAGAATATAATGCCTGTCATTCTCCAAGGAGTGGTGGTTTCAAACTACTAACCTTGTGGCATGCAGCTCAATGAGTTACCACTATGTCACCAGGTTTCCTCTACTAGGATCTACACATGGGAAAACATATGAAGAGAGAGCTCTCCAAAATATGCAACAACACAAGCAATCATGTGGACCAAGTATTTTAGTATTTTCAGGAAATAGTAATTTAATTTCACAAGCAATATATCAATTTCATATGAACTAAGTTAATCCAACAAGAAAAAACAATTATATATATATGCATTTAATCTCAATGGTTGGAGAGACATTAAAGGAAAATTGAATTATATGAAAATAGAAGCTTATAACTCCATAATAATAGTTGGGGACTGTGGTAATTACATAATCTGGTGTCAATTTGAGACTTGAGGTTAAATGGGGTGGAGTTTAGCCTGTCAATTAGGTCGCAGCTTGATGACCTCATTTGGAGGCACTAAGGAGATAAATAGCTTGCTGGAGCTGGGACACACACTCACTCCCTGTGAGACATTCCTGCGGACAAGACACATGGAGCTACAGTAGAGCCCAGAAGCTGAAGGAGCTACATGGATACCCCTGCTAGCGCTGAGATTCTTCCACCACTACTGGATCCACAAGACTTTCCACCCACTGGCCTATGATCTTCCTGCATTCGGCATTATGGCATGTATTGAGTGAGTCTAAAGAGGAATTTATAGACCGGTATCAGACATATGGGCTAATGTCGGACTTATGGACTTGATTTGGTCTGGGCTGTGATGTTTTCTCAATATATAATTGCTCTTTAATATAAAGCTCTTTCTTATACACATATATGTTTCTCTGAATTTAACCCAGACTAACACAGTGAGGGAATTTCTGGAAGCAAACTGAATAAATGAGAATGAGCAAATGAATGAGAATCAGTCATTCATATAGGAAGCACAGAGGACA